ATAAGTGCTTCTGAAGCCACAGCTCAGGCCATATGGCTCAGATTCATCCTGGACGATTTTGGAGAGCTACAAGCAGATGTAACTCCCTTGCAGTGTGACAACACATCTGTAATCTCAATAGCTAAGAACCCCGTGTTTCATCAGAGGAAAAAACACATCGACAGGTGATATCACTTCATCAAGGATGCCTTGCAACAAGGGATAGTTGATTTGGTCTACTGTCCTACAAAAGAACAAGTGGCAGACATCTTCACCAAAGCTTTGCCGAAGGAGAGATTCAACTATCTCAGGGACAAACTTGGAGTTATATCAGCTCAAAGCTTAAAGGGGAGTGTTAGTGTATAAGCTATTGAGCTTACTTTGAAATTATAAGTAAATAAGCCCTGTATTTAATTATGTATTCACTTTGGTAATTTCACCAAGTGTAGGGCTCATATTGTAAAAGGGTCTTAGTAACAGGTGTAAGGATCTCTTTGTATCCATCTAGATGTGTGGCTGAGATCATCTTTTCTGATATACTTTGTAACCCATCCGGTGTGCACAGTGTGTGTGCGTGAAGGAATACATTTATAGATTTCTCTCTCTGCAAGTTAGTACAGAGAGCACCACCATCAAAATCTTCTCTCCATTGCTTTGATCTGTTTTTCATTCCTATTCCTACTCCTCCTTCATCTACAAAATAACTAACAGAACTTTAACAATTCTCCCAACTTTTTCAGATTTTGATTGGGTTGCAGATCTCAATACAAGGAGATCTGTTATAGGATACATTGTTTATCTTGGAATCAATCCAATTTCATGGCAGTCAAAGAAACAATCATATGTCTCTAGGAGCTCTACGGAGGCTGAATATAAGGCACTTGCTCACACAGTTGGAGACCTAGCTTGGGTAAGGCAAATACTAAAAGATTTGAAGTGTGTATTGCCTCAACCACCAATGATACATTGTGACAACAAGTCTACCATAACATTGAGTTCCATTCCTATCTTTTATTCCAGAATAAAGCACTTGGATACAGATTATCATTTTGTGAGGGAAATAGTGTAGAAGGGAAATCTTGAGGTACTTTGTATTCCTATAGAAGGACAAACTGCAGATGTTTTGACTAAAGGGTTACACGGTCCTTATTTCTCAAACATTGTTACAATCTCAAGCTAGGAAATCCTAGCTTAGATTGAGGGGGGATGTTGACTATATCTGTGAAGTGTGCAAATGTCCAACTCAACAAAAGTTAGTTAGATAGTTGTTATTGTTGCTAGAGTTTTGTTTGGCTGTTATCTCAGTAGCTTAGGCTGAAAGCTAACATTTGTAGCTGTATGAAGTTGTAATCTCATAATTGTAAACTCAATTCATTCACTATCAATACAATACAAGTCCTCTCTTTGTTCATCTCTCTCTCTAAAGTTTCATAGTGTTCATAGTATATTTTCTGCATTCTTAATACTTTGTTAATATTTTTTACTCAACTTTTACACACACATTTTTGTAGGGTTCACTTCGTAATGTATTTTAAGAACCCGAATTGTGTATCTTTTAGGTCTTCCCTCAAAGATCATATCTATCAAAAATCACCCAAATCTAAAACCATATGACCATTCAATTAAAGGTTTAGGGTTTCTTGTAGAACCGTACGTATTCGTCGTCCATTTTCTTTACTACAAATGAATGTCTAAATGGTTTTGGAGTTGTCCAATTTTTTGCAAGAATGATCTATGAACAATGTTCTAAAAGATAAACGGTTTGGATCTTCAAAATATATTACGGAGTAAACCCACAAGAACATGTATAAAAAAATCATATAAAAAAGTGGTATCCCGAATTCACCGTATATATATTTCTCTTGACAAATATAATCCAACAACCACCTTCTAATATTAGTAAAAAAAATAATAAATACACATTCATGCACCATCTTCTGAACTGCGCCAAAAACTATATACCTCTTCTGTGCATTAATTATTACCATGCAAGCGGTTCAAAGGGTACACTGCATTTTTTACCAGATTCGAAGGATCGGTGCCTCTTCTGCATGCATCACTCTCAACCAGTAGACCACCATGCAATGCAGGTATGATATATGTATATGTATATGTATATGTGTATGTGTTAATGTGTATATGTATATGTGTACGTATATGTGTATATACAATACACTCTCAAATGCTTTGGCAGAAAAAACCAGCCTTAATTTGGTGGGGGCGCCTATAATCTATTGGACCAAAAGGCAAAGGCTGCTAATTAGACACTAATGGGTTTCTATATACATAGTTATATTAATAATAGTGCAACGCGCATGTGTTGGTTGATGCTGTTTGTTTCTCATGCATCCAAGTTGAGATATATATATATATACACACACACAGAGACTCTTTATGCAAAGGGATTCTTATTTTTTGAAAAAAATAGAGATTAAGTGTGGGGCTCACTTCACATCAAATTTCAATGATCCGAACCGTCTATTTTGTGAGTCTCGATTCATAGATTATCCTTGCAAAAATTCAATTCAATCCGAAACCATTTGCCTATTTAATTATTAAGATCAAATTTCATTGTTTCTATAAAAACAAAGTATTCGTTCATTTCTTTGAACCCAATTAGATGTCTTAAATATTTATGATTTGGCTAATAATTTGCAAGGATGATCTATGAGGTACAACTTGAAAAATAGACGTTCAGATCGTTAAAATTTGATGTGGTGTGGACCCCACAACTAATCCCTATTTTTATAAAAAAATAAAAATAAAAATCCATTCCCTTAAAGGCTTTCTATATATATAGGCTCAACTACTAGCATTCGAATTCTTGCTTTATTTCTTATTTAATCCCAATTGTTAATTTTTGAGCATTTGAAAACCATACCCATGCCATGCCCAAGCCAATATAAATCAATTAATAAATCTTACCAACATTTAATCCCAATTGTTAATTTTGAGCATTTGAAAACCATGCCCATGCCAAGCCAATATAAATCAATTAATAAATCTTACCAACTTGGTAGTAGATATTAGGTGGCATGGTGGCATGCATCGAGATCATTGGATCAACTTAATATAGGATTCGAAGTTGTTAACCAAAAGTAGGTTTAAGGTTATATTTGAGAGCTGTTATTAATACTCCTTAAACCTTAATTTGCACTCATTTTATATTTTAAATTATCTTTTCTAATTCTTTTAATGAGATTTCCGATTTTACCCCTGTATCACTTTTAGTATCCTCTAGACACTTGAAAACCTCATTAAGTGTGATGACATAAATATTATAGGAAAATGTAGAGACCTTTTATGCTCTAGAAGCAAGCAATACCGGATACGTCGCCTCCACACAAAAGCCAAGTCGGCCATTTTAGGGACTTTGCCACACAAAAGCCAAGTCGGCAATTTCAGGGACTCTGCCATCGATCTTCAAAAATATTGTTCAAGGTTGTTAAGGAACATGAGCTTGCATATTTGGTTTCTGGGGATTTTACCAGATACTTTTGTTAGATTGCGTGAACGCTCGATTATAATCGAAAGTGAGCAGGTGGTTTGTTTTATCTTTGCTTTCTTTCTTGCATTTAGTGGTATTTTGCTTCTTTAACAACATTTCTTAAAAAATACGGTAAGTGGAGGAGTGTAGACTGAGATTTAGAGAGTGCTAATAACAGTTCCCTTATATTTTCTTCAAAAATACTTTTGCTTTTCTACATAAGCTCACTTACCGTGGATCTCCACACTGTTGAACGATTAGTATACAAATACCAAATCGTTAGTTCTTCTCTTTATTTAAGCTTAACTTTTAATTATATTCATCTATGAATTTAACAATGA